TACTGAAAGGAGTGTATGTGTGTCCGGTCAGGATGGGGGGGAAGGGAAAGGGCTATGGGGGGCCAGGGCAGATCAAGGCCCCAGCGGTGAGGGAGGGAGCCGGGCACAGGCAGGAGCTGGAGGGAATGGGCCTGGCTTGGCCAAGTGGTAGGACAAGTGGAGGCCCGGGGGGCAAGGATCCAGTCAATCGGGATCCACCAGTTGGTGACCACTGGTGTAGGCATGTATAAATCAAATACCTCACACCCCTTAACTTCCTCTCTGATGAGCCAAACAGATTGAGCTCCTTGAGCATGTCATTTTTTTAGTACTTCTCTGAACCCCTCTAACACCCTTGTTAAAATGACGACACCAAAATTAGACACCACATTCCAGTAGTGGTTTTACTGCAATGTCAGCTGCAGGGGAAATACAACCTCAACTCCTACTCAACATTTCCCTTTTTATACAGCCGAGGATTACAACAGCTCCTTTAAACTTAGCATTGCCCAGGAAGATTACATTTAGCCGATTATCTGCTGGGATCCTAAAGCTTTTTCCAGAAACACTACTTCCCACCCCCATCTGAAGTCTATATATTTTGCTTCTAGTTGCAAAGCTCTACATCTGATGACACAGAGACGGAAGTTGTTTGTTCATACCCATCTTACCTAACAATCCTGACTGCTCTGTATCAGGGACTTGTTGTCTTCATTATTTACAATTTCTGCAGTCTTAAGGTCATTTGCAGATTATCAGCAATGATGTGAATTATTAGTATTTATTACTATATTATCATAGCACCTAGAAGCTATAATCATGGACCAGGATCTCACTGTAATAGGTGCCATGTAAACAAAGACATGTCCTGCCCCACAGAACTTACAAGCTAAGCTTACAAACAACTAGGGGAGCACAATGTAATAATGCTGGTCAACCTGACAGATGACTGTAACAACGAACTGTCATATTTTGCAGGCACTGCAGCAGAGGAGAGATTCGACTGAGAACAATGAAGTGTAGTTGTGGATGCTTACAAGGAGCTCCTTGCTAGCATGAAAGGAAACAGGAAAAAGTGCTGCCATCACAGACTGCTCACAGACTAGAGCTGACTTCCTGATAGTGAGAAGTGAGAGCTGGAGTGGGGACAGGCCACCAGAGCTTTGAAAGTGAAGCAGCTTATTAGTGAAGCTTGCTCGTCAAAGAAAAGCAAAGGACAGCAAACAGAAAACAATCAGAGAAATGAGACAGAAAAAAAAAAAAAATCACTGGATATAAGGATGACAAGATTGCATTTGTCAGGACTACAGAAAAGGATGTTGCAATAACCAAGACATGAGATGAAGACACCCTGGACAGGAGTTTTAATAACACAGGTAGAAAGGAAAGGCCCTATCTTAGATATGTTATGCAGCAATAATCCCTACTACTTATCAACACAGCTCTATTAGATCTGGAGAGTTGATGATGATAATGGCAGGACAACTGTACTGTCCAAAGTGACTGAGAAAAGAAGCAGCAACTAACAGCACCATTTTAACCACGCTCAGCTTGATCATGAAATCCACAGGGTGATGTCAGGAAGATAAGCAAACAGTTCAGTCAGAACAGAAGGAGACGGGTCTGAAACAAAGATCATAAGTAATCCATATCCAGGAAATGGTCGAATTTTTGCTTGTAGGTGAGGTTATCCAGAGATAAGGTACAGAGGGACAAGAAGAGCGTACCACAGAGTCCAGAAAACTTCCGAAGAGACTTGGAGTACTCATGAGGAAGATCCTCTAAAGGACATGTTAAGAGAACAATAAGAGAGGAAGGATGAAAACCAAGAGATGACAAATGCACAGAAGCCTTCAAGAAAACCCATGATCATCTGTGTCAAAGGAAGCTCCCAACAAATCAGGGAGATAAGGATAGAATATCCGTTCTGAGATTTGGCTAGAAAGGTCATTAGAAAAATTGGTGTGAGGCTTGAGTTGAATAACCCGGACATAGGCTGGTCTTGGATAGAAAGGGGGTAAAACTCTAGTGACTGTAGACTACCTGATCAATGAGCAGTGTGGGCCAACCTTTCTGGCAGGTATGCCCCAAGTAAGCCCTGCACCCTCCCCAAGTGCCGCTCCAATCTCTTTTCCTTACCTAATCTATTGCTCTGCTTTCTGCTCCATGCCCTATCTACCACGGTGTTCCCTGCTGCCTCACTGATCTGCCACATGTCACACACACAGGTTGCCCATGCTACCTGCAGCACACATGCCATGGGTTGTCCACCCCTGAGCTTAAGGATGAAAGGCAGAAGAGAGATGGGACAATGGTCAGAAAAGCAACTGAGCTGAAGTGTGTTCAGAGAATCATAGAGCTGGAAGGTACCCCAAAGGATCAACACATCCAGCCCCCTGCATGAGCAGGAAAGACATCTGGGGTCAGACAACCCCAGCCAGATGACCATCCAGTCTTCTCTTGAAGATCTCTACGGTAGATGACTGTACTGCCTCTGGGAAGAGCTTGTTCCATAGTCTGGACTCCCTAGTTGTAAAGAAGTTTTTCCTAATGTTCAGCCTGAAACTATCTTCCAGGATTTTGTGGCTGTTGTTTCTAGTTTTCCCCCTGGGCACCCTGGTGAACAGTTGTTCACTGAGCCCCTGATATATGCCTCTGATATAGTGGTAAGCTGCAATGAAGTCTCCTCTCAGCCTTCTTTTATTTAGGCTGATGAGTCCGAGATCCCTCAGCCTTTCCTCATATGGCTTGCCATGCAAGTCTCTG